AACCATTTCAAAGCTATTTTTTTTTTCTCTTCATATTTTTGTTCTTCCTCTCTCTGTTATTATTAAGAATTCAAATCTTAATCCAAAACAATTAACAAGGGATCAATTGTTTCTCAATCTCCATATATCTCTATCTATATATGTATCTATCTCTGTTCTCTTCGTGTTTTCCCGTCTACAGTTGACTTCATCGCGGGTATCGCGAGGGGGTTGTGGTGGGTCCGTCCAAAGATTTCAAGGAGAATCTTCTCTATCAACACAAGAGGCTTTGAAGAGAATCCGTTAAGAGTTAAAGAAGGAAAGGCCTGATGATAACTACGAGAAAGGGGTGGGTTTCTTTGTTTATGGATAGGACAGTCCTTCAAAAGCCTTCGTGACTATCATCACTTGCTCATGTCCTTGCATCTTAAACCACCACCACAACAACTTTCGTAGTGGGTAATTACAGAGGAATAATATCCAAGAATCTTTTCAAAGTGAGTTGCTCTCATTCCTTTTCTGTTTAATTTTTATCTGGGTTTTGTTGTGTTTAATGTTGGGTCATAAACTTGTATTAGCTTTGGGTATGAGCAGTAACTCTTTTTCTCCTTCTCTCTCTCTCTCGCTTGTGGTAAAACCTAGAATCCTGAAGAGAAGAAAGTTTGGTAGGTTCTGGTTCTAACTACTTTTCGGAGAATCTATGGAAAGTTTTTAACTTGTGTATATTTAATTTGGCTTCTTCGGACAATTGTAGTTGGATGTATTGGGATATTTGAAAATGGTTGGTTCTTTAATTCTTCTTGTTGATCATTTATTCCACTTTGGTTGAAATCGAATTTTTGTATCAGACCCTTGCCTTTGAGATGTTTTGTGCCTTATGTCATAGTGAGCTCTAATAGGATGTTTGATTAGATTTTCTATAAATTTCATTCAGGATGCTTGTGAAATTGGGACATTAGACTTTTACAGCTGAAAATTTGAGACTGGATTTTGTTTGGTAAGCTGAAAGTTCTGGAATTCAAATCGAATAGGATATAGATGTTGGGGTTTTGAAGAAGAAGAAAAGTTATGGATGATGGTGTCTTCTTCCCTCCAAATACCATGTCAGGCACTCCACCCGATTCCTTTATGGATTTGGATTACATGGATGAACTCTTGCTAGACGGATGTTGGCTGGAGACAACTGATGGATCTGATTTTTTGCTCCACAGTACCTCTAACTCTGGTGCTCTCTTTGACCCTTCATTTACATGGCCTACTCTCCAAACGAACAATGACACTTTGAGTGGGAGCCACCACAAAAGGACAGTCAAGAAGATAGGCAAAGGTCATCTTTGCTTGAGAATCTATCCATTAGTCAGCCCCAAGGACAGAATCCTGCTAAAAGTCAGGCACTTGGTGACAATATGATTAATGTGGGGTGCTCAAGTGAATTTGAGAACTATTCTGTTGAAGGTTCTGAAGTCAGTAGAAGATGGTGGATTGGACCAAGAGCCAATCATTTTCCAGCCTTATCTGTAACGGAAAGATTAATTCAAGCTCTTGGGTACATTAAAAATTGCACTCGAGATGAGAATATTCTGATTCAAATATGGATACCAGTAAATAAAGGTGGCAGATGTGTTCTAACCACGAGCGATCAACCTTTCTCACTTGATCGTAACTGCCCAAGACTTTCAAGTTACAGAGACATCTCTGTGAGCTATCAGTTCGCTACCGAGGAGGATTCCAAGGAGAGTATGGGCTTGCCTGGCCGGGCTTTCATGTGTAAGGTTCCTGAGTGGACTCCTGATGTTCGATTCTTTAGAAGGGAAGAGTTCCCACGGGTTGGTCATCATGCTAAGCAATATGATGTCCGTGGAACTATTGCTGTTCCAGTTTTTGAACAAGGTAGTCAAAGTTGCTTGGGTGTTATTGAAGTTGTGATGACTACTCAAAAGATCAACTACCGTCCAGAGCTTGAAAGTGTTTGCCAAGCTCTTAAGGTCTGTTTCCTTTGCGCTTTTTTTTTCCCACACTGTTCCTCATATCAACTTCTTTCTTTAGTTCGGAAACTTCAATTGGTAAGAATTTGGGACTAAAGTTGATTTTGACACCAGCACAGCTGCACAACGAGAAAAAAAACAATCTATGTGTCATACTTGGTATTCTAAACTGGATGTGTAACAGAATATTGTGGTCTAAAGTTGATCATAATATGGAATAGGTTACAATATTCCTTTCGAACTAAAATAGGGGTCAGTTTGTCTCAAGATTGTAACATATTGAATATTAAGATTCTAGATTTATGTTCGATGTTCTTTGTTTCAAGTCAAACATACTACAGTTACTGAAGACATCACATTGTAAAAAAAATTGGTTGTTTTCCAGAAACATATTTTGGAGCATTTATCTGAAAAAGAAATTAAAGAGGCCTGCAGTTCCAAGATTTTTGTATTAAGAATCAACTCTATACCACCACAGAGAGTGAATAGGTTCAATGCAATGGGAAGCACACAACCAGCTTATGAAGTTTAGATTAGGTTGTGTTTTAGTTTCGTGTTGTTTTTTTTCCTTACGATTCTTTTTTATTGAATTTTATTGTTCCCATTGCAGCCCATATCCATCCCCATCGGAACTGCCGCCAAGAGAGCTTGAGCATTAATCCATGTAAAGTAATTTATGATTTGACATCCATCCACCATTAGTGTGGTATGACATACCCATGCCCTCCCTCAAGTTCTAGGGATTGTCTTGATGCAACCCTGAAATAATTTCTACAATATAATATTGAGAGAATTAAGAGTAATAAGTAATTCAGCCTCATTTTGTGGATAATATTATTGGTTTTAGACAACAAAATACAACTATGCACATTCGTCTGTACCGCAGGGGGGGGGAGAGAGTGAGAGAGAGAGAGATCTGTGGATCTGGCTTCTCAGGTCCAAATAAACCTTTTTAATTACTTGCAAAACATCCTAGTAATGACAACTCTCATTTCTCCAGACTTTCTGCTCTTAACAAGCTTTTTTGCTTACAGGCTGTTGATCTCCGTGGTTCTGAAGTTTCAAGTGCTCAGAATGTTAAGGTAATTGTATATCTCTGTGAAATATAACTAATCTGTAGAAAGGGTCTGAAACCTTATGTTTTCCACATTTTTTTTCACTAGGCGTGTGATGGCTCTTATCAAGCTGTGTTGCCTGAAATTCTGGAGGTTCTGAGATCTGCATGTGGGACACATAGATTGCCGTTAGCTCAAACATGGGTCCCATGTGTCCAACAAGCTAAAGAGGGGTGCAGGCACTCTGATGAGAATTTTGTTCATTGTGTTTCCACTGTGGATTCTGCTTACATAGCTGATCCCTCTATTCAGGGTTTTCATGAAGCCTGCTCTGAACACCACTTGTTGAAAGGTCAAGGGGTTGTGGGAAGAGCGTTCACAACTAATCAACCATCTTTTTCACCTGATGTAACCTCTTATAGCAAGACAGAGTATCCTCTTTCGCACCATGCAAGGATGTTCGGACTGCGTGCTGCTGTTGCCATACGGCTGCGAAGCATTTACACTGGTACAACTGACTTTGTTTTGGAGTTCTTTTTACCTGTGGATTGCGTGGATCCTGAAGAACAAAAGGCAATGCTCAATTCATTGTCCATCATTATACAAAAGGTCTGTTGGAGCTTACGGGTGATTACGAACAAAGAGTTGCAGGAAAATACTTTTCTGCCTGTTGGTGCACTTAAATTCCCTTCATATGTGAAGCTTGGAAGAGAAATGCCAGAAGTGGAATGTACTCAGTCCGCAAGGCACTTCCATGAAGTATCATCCTGCATTGGCAGAAAGACGGAGGCCAAAGAGGGTGATAATTTACCATTAGTCCAGGAACCAAGGCAACAGTTGAGGGAAAAAGCGTTGGACTTTATGAAACAGCAACATGATTCTGACTCCAGAGCAACTTTGACCAATGCTGAAGATAATTCTACTTCTGGCGAGGATAGCTTCTTAAATGTAGGTAATACAGGAGAGAAAAGAGTCAAAAGACATACCAAGGCAGAGAAAAGTATCACCTTGCAGATGCTTCGGCACTATTTTGCTGGTAGCCTAAAAGATGCTGCAAAGAGTATTGGCGGTAAGTCCTTCGTACACCTTTTTTGTATGTATCTCTTCTTTTATCCAAGGATACATTAGTCATTCTTTCAAGTTTTATATATACACACCCACCTATGCAATTACACAGCCCTACAAAAGGGAGTTTACCAATTCTTCCAAAGGGTATCAAAGCCTCTAGGTTATTGTCTCCTCTTTTTTTTTCTTTATTCTTTCTTCTTCACTGCTGCCACATTCTTACACATAAATCATCCTAATGTTTTTATCAGGCTCGACTACAAGTTCCTTCTTCTCCATATACCACACTTCTAAGCCCCTATTTCACGATGAAGTCAATGCCCGTGTTCTGTACCTGAAAATGGATTTCTATAATGAACCTGTTGATAAATATATGACTCTACCTTCAACACCTCAAGTCGTTGGTTAGTTCTATCGCTTGAGTTGGTAATTCAATCTTATCCGTGCTTCCCGGAAGTGCGATAGTTGCTATCTCTACTCGCCTTCCTTTTCCATAATTTGCTGAGGCTTGTTCTCTGATTCTCTTTCATGAAGCTGGTCTTTTTAATATCTGAAGACTCATGCTCCCTCAAACCCATTTACATGTTTTGTAGCTAATTGTGGCTCATCAAATTCTTGCATAAGTCGTGGTAGCTCTAATACATTGCCAATTCTCATTATGACCCATGTTTCGACAATCACAATGAAAATTCCTCATTGGTCCATCAAGTTTTTCGTCATGACTTTCAGTCCTCCAATTGGCAACAATCTTTTCCTCCATTTGGCAGTCCTACTCGTCATGAGGCCGTTGACCATCTATTCTAGCCCCCCTGCTACAGGCACTGAAAGAATCATGGACCTGTGTAATGCCAGTTCCCATTTGACTTTATTACACTGCTTGTGAGTTCCCTCACAATCTGAAAGCATTTGTTACTTATAATAATTTGAGTTATCTGTATCTTTCTCACACAAGATTCCTATGATCGGAACTGATATTTTGATATTGGTTCTTCATCTCATATGACCCCTTCAGCAGGTAATCTCCTGTCTCATTCTTCCTACACTAATTCTTATCACTTCCAGGTTACCAATGTTGCTCTTTTTCCCATTTCTCACATCGGTCACTCTCACCCTATATCTCCCTCTTTTAACTTTCATTTCTGTAATGTTCTTGTTGCACCGGATCTCCAAATTACTTATCGTTCATAACTTTTTTCAGCTAAACACTGTAGTCTCGAATTCGATCCTTTTGATTTGTTCTGTTAAGGAACTTCAAATGAAGAAGAATTGTCTCAGCTGCAATAGTTTTGGTGGACTCTATGCTATACCTCCATCTGCACATGGTGGTTGTAGTTTGCTCTCACAGCCTCTTCAGTTTCTTCTCAGTTATGGCATCAACACTCAATCACCTGAGCAATTGTTTTATTTATTTATAAACTGATACGACCATCTCGTTCTTGAATTGGTATGGCTCCCTGTCATGCATGTCAATTAGGCAAGCATGTTAGACATCACTTTCCTAATTCCCATGGTCATTCTGTTCGAGTTAGCATGGGAGAAATGTGTATATTGTGTGTGTGTGTGTATATGTATGTATGTTTGCATTTATATTTTTATATCATTATCTATTAGTTTCACTTCTAAATTTTTTTACTTTTTTCTATATATTGTAACCTTTGTTCTTTTGTTGGTTCTTAGTTTGTCCCACTACTTTGAAAAGGATATGTAGGCAACATGGAATAAAACGCTGGCCTTCTCGAAAGATCAAGAAGGTTGGCCACTCCTTACAAAAAATCCAACTTGTGATGGACTCAGTCCAAGGTGCCTCTGGTGCTTTTCACATCGACTCTTTCTATTCAAACTTCCCAGAATTGGCATCTACAAATTTAACGGGAATCAGCCCATTTTCAGCTTTAATTACTGATGATGATTCAAAGTCCTTCAACAGGAAGCTTGAGGGTGTCAATCTCAAACCCCAGGCTGCTGCATCTAAATCACTCTCTCCTTCCTGTAGTCAAAGCTCCTGTTCTAGCCAATCTTGTTCCAGTGGGACACAGCCGCATCCTCAAGCATCGCATGTTGCAGGTCATGAAGATCCAATTGTCAGGGAAAATTCCAGTGATAGTGTACTTGAAAGGGCTGGAAGTGATGCAGAGCTGCACATGTCAAGTGATGAAGTACCAAAGCTCCTGCCAAGATCCCATAGCCATAAATCTCTTAGTGACCACCCTAAATCAGAGTGCCCTCTGCCCATTGCAAAGAATACAGGTGGAAACTCCCAAAGAGGCATTCAGAGATTTAAAGTTACATATGGGGAAGAGAAAATCCGGTTCCGCATGCAGAATAATTGGGGATACAAAGACTTATTGCAAGAGATTGCCAGAAGGTTCAGGATTGGTGACACCAAAGTGTTTCAGCTCAAGTACTTGGATGATGACTCTGAGTGGGTATTGTTGACATGTGATGATGATTTGGAGGAGTGTATCGATGTATGCCAATCGTTAAGGAGCCAAATAATTAAGCTCGCTCTCTGTTCAGATTCACAGAAAAATTTGAGAAGCTATATGGGTAGCAGCAGCCCCTTGTGATTATCGTAGAAATGACTACTATCAATGGGGTTGCAGTTTGATGCTGTTTAAAAATTTGCGTCAATATTTTGGACGAGCTCAAGTCCAAATAACTTGTTGGGGTATATGTTGCCTGCAATTTCAGATACATGAAACGCCCTTTTCAACGTAATAAGTGGTATCTGTAGGCTGGGATCACCATGAAAGTTGTAAAAGACTTTCTCCTAGGACGTCCTGAAATTCAACTTGGGCTTGGCAAAAGTATTCCGTGCGTAGAACTAGTCATTTTATTGCCTATGCAGCTGGAAATACCGAAGCTACCGTGTTTTCATACTGTGTTAAGATGCCATGTTAAAGGAATGCACGCGTTGGAGGCTGGAAGATTTTTACGGAATACGTGAAATGCGAAAGACAGATTTCTGGGCAGATCTTTGATAAAATAATTTGAATATGTACTGACATTGAATCTCATATGAGAGAGAGTCTATGCAATGGCCAGGGAATAAATGAAAAACCCTTCACACCACCAAGCATACGCGAGCGGTGTGGTGCGGTGCAAATATGGATTGTGAATTTGTACATTTGCAATACTGATTAGTGCTCGAGCTTGAGGGGAATTTAGCTCAGCTGAATATGTTTTGCAAAACTGATGTAGTGTACCTTTGTGGATCCATTGACAACTTTTAATTTTCAGTTGGCTCAAGTAGATGTTAAACTACTTTCATTATTCAGAGTTCGAAATGCAAGTAAAAAATTTTTCTTGTGGCCCTTTTGCAGATGATTAATGGTTGCAAATTGAAACAATTTCTTAGCCAATAGCCATGCTTTTAGGTCCTTGCCCAGTAAGACAAGAGTTGTTTAGTTCTTTTGGTAGGCTTGTACAGGTACAATACACTCAAGTCAACTCTCCAAAAGAAGCCACTGGCTCGATGTAAGAACTTGCGAGACCCATGTCTACCAGGGAGGCTTAGCCAAGGGTGCGTGTTGATGGGGTGAAGCTCCAGTTGCAATGACGCTGCCGCCATGCCTGCTGTGAAGTGGAGACTTATACTGATTATAATGACGATAATTCGGGGAGTGTTGTTCTTGGTGTTGGGCCGTAGGACGCTTGTTTCTGCATTTGGAGGCCTTGGGTTTCTTCTTGATGGCGTTAATCTGTTCTAAATTCTCCAAGATTTCTTCCATGGAGGGGCGATTTTTGGGGTCAGATTCAAGACATCTGAGTATAAGTGCAGCTGCTTGTAATGCACCTTTAGAAGGATACTGGTGATCCAGATGTGGGTCCATTATTCTCTTCAGCTTTCTCTTATCGGGCAGGAAAGGCTTGGCCCAATCCACCAAGTTGTGCTCTCCACTGGGCCGATTCAAATCAAGCACCCGACGGCCCGTTAACAGCTCGAGCATCACCACCCCAAAGCCATATACATCGCTTCTAACATACAAATGACCTAGCCAACATTCAAAGTGGTTAATTATTCTCTTCCAGTGTATTTTCATATATACTATTTAATATTATAATTAGAAAATTGAATTCATAATTTATAAAGTATAACAACGATTAAGATTAATTCGATTTTTATCTACTTTATTCTAATAGTACAAAATTCATCCCCAAATTTGTTTTTCTATTTAAAAATATTATCTTCTCAATGCGACTCAACTCAATCAACACACTCTTTAATACCAAATAACCCCATTAATCAACACCTATATCTCTCATCTACTTTTGTCTTATTTTTTATCTGTTCACTTTAATTTTAAATTATATAAATAAAAAATATAAGTAAAAATTGATTATCATTAAAAATATAAATATTATACGATTAATGTTTAATTTTTTGTATTATAGAGGGTCTCAGACACGGGATTATTACTAGTCTATCTAATATTATAGTTAGGAAGTTGAATTCTCAATTTGTAAAAACCCAACACCAGTCAAAGTTGATTCAATTTTCATCTATTTTTATCCAATAATAATAAAATTCATTCAAAAAAAATTATTTTTCCACTCAAAAATATCATTTCCATTGTATGACCTCAATGCCAATCACCCCGCCAAATCACACCTATACCTCTCTCCCCCTACCTCTTTCTTATATTATTTTTATTCACTTAATTTTAAATTTGATATTATGAAGTGGTTTTAGAGTTATTGTTAGTACATATATATGAAACAAGATATAAGTAATTACCGGTGGCCACATACTCTGGAGCTGCATAACCATAAGTTCCCACAATTTGTGTAGTGACATGCGAGTGACCATTTACTGGACCTAACTTAGCCAGCCCAAAATCTGAAAGCTTTGCATTAAACTCCTGGAGAAAAATATTCACATTACTGGCCAAAAACTCCACATGGCTGCCTTCAGAAATAATATTAACTATTAACGACAACAGTTAATTAATTAAATAGCTTCATATATATATATATATATATATATACCCCATCTAGCAATATGTTGGAGGCCTTGAAGTCGCGGTATATGACTTTTTTCTCCGTTGTATGCAAGAAAGAAAGGCCTCGAGCTACTCCTATGGCTATTCTAAGCCGAATATCCCATGAGAGTGGTTTTGCACCAGCTGCAAGTAACAAGAGATTTCTCACATAACAAGAAATTTGACATTTCATTTCTTTTTTCACCGAAGTACCTAAAAAGGTTGTGATTTCAAAGAAAATAGAAATAAATACCTATTTTTTTAGAATATTTCCATCAATTTTTCAACTAGTTTCTCTATTTCTTCTGACACTTTTTTTTTTGTTTATAAGATGAAAAAAATTATATATTAAAGCAAAATTTGGATCCTTGAATATGACTTATTATTAGGATTAATGTTAATGCTTACTACTGAAGAGGTGGGTCTCTAAGCTTCCCTTCTGCATATACTCATAGACAAGGAGAAATTCTTCCTCTTCCCAACAGTACCCCAATAGCTTAACCAGATTGGGATGACTGAATTTTCCCAAGAATTTGACCTCCGCCTGCACCCGCAAAAAATTGATAAGATCCCCAACTTTGATGTAATTCTCCTCTAAAAATGACAAAGTTTCAAAATAATAATAGTAAGAAAACCCAAAGAAGGAAGAGTAGAAAATTGATTCTCCCTGACTCAACCACCTAAGTATTTATATTTAGTTATAATTATTATTATAGATATTTGTTGGCACTTACTTGCCACTCTTTTAGGCCTTGGGAGCTATCTGGATGGGATTTCTTGACAGCAACGGGCATTCCAACTCCAACCATGGAAGGTGCATATGTTTTCTCGTCGACCCAACCTCTGAAAACCTTTCCAAACCCTCCCTCACCCAGCATCGAATCAGGTCTAAAGTTTTTTGTGGCTCTTTTTAGCTCTGCATAACTAAACATTTTCAAGTTTGGGGTTATAATTTGCCCACTTATTGTAGTTGTTATTGTACCCAAACCCACTTCATTATCATCAACAACACCTCCTGCTTCTCTAGTATACGCCGACGAGCTTTTCCGATAACTCTTGCTGCTGCTGCTGCTGTTTTTTAATGTCTTTGCATCACTATGGACTGAAAGAAAGGGAAGAAGAAAACCAATAATTTTATTGGTGAGTTATTAATCTGAAGCTCAATTAACAAACAATGTATAATTATGTTCCAAATCATCAAACAAACTTTATGCATATATATTGGTTTGAATTAGGAGATATATATACATACTTGGGCTGGAAGGTTTCGTGGTGCTCGGGAGATTATCCACAGGCTTTGCCCAGCAGTTCCCCATCCTCTCCCTCCCCCCCCTCTCTCTCTCTCTCTCTCGTTAATCTCTCCACTATCTATCTACTTATCGTTTTGGAACATCTGAAGTTTCTGTGTCTGTTCAGTTTCCGCGAAGGAGAGAAGAAGGAGCGCAAGAAAGAGGGACGATGAACACAAGAAAAGAAAACTAAGACGTATGTCGGTATGTGTATGTATACAGAGACGGGAGGGAGAAACTGAGATGGGTTTGTCTCCTATGGATGAGTCAGTATTTCTCCCTTAACTACTTATGAATTGGTATTTCTTTTTTTTTTTTTTTTGAACAGGTATGAAGTGGTATTTCAAAAACGCGCTTTCAGTGTAAAAAAAAAAAACTAGAAATTATTTTGTAAAAGGGAGCAATCGCTACATCCCTTCACTCGAAAGATTTTGGCTAGCCTGCGCTTGTTCGACAGTAGCTTTTACCTTTCAGTGTCCACAGGAGTTTTGTCCCACATTGACTGAGAGTCGTCTCCCCCACCCCTTATAAGCCTGAGTCTCTTTAGGCATTGATATTACCTTTTTGTAAGGGGTAGAAATCGCTACGAGATTTTAGCCCTCCACTCGAAGGATTCCAGCTTACCTCTCAGTGCCCACAGGAGCTTCATCCCACATCGACTGAGAGTCATTTTCCCCATCCCCTTATAAGCCTGAGCCCCTTTAGGGATGGGTACCCACTAGCGGGGGTGGGGGAGACGACTCTCAATCGATCTGGCTTACCTCTCAGTACCCGCAAGAGCTTCGTTCCATATCGACTGAGAGTCGTCTCCCTCACCCCCTTATAAGCCTGAGCCCCTTTAGGGATGAGTACCCACTAACGGGGGGTGGGAGAGACGACTCTCAATTGATGTGAGACGAAACTCCTGCGGGTACTGAGAGGTAAAGGCTACTGCCGAACGCGCGCAGATTAGCTGGAATCTTTTGAGTGGAGGGCTGAAATCTCGTAGCGATTTCTACCCCTTACATATTTCTAAAACATGACTTTCATATAAAAAGTGTATTTTACTTCCATATTCTCTCCCCTATGAAATTCTTTATCGGTTAGGCCCAATGGTGGTACCTTGTTATTTGCTAATGTTGTATATATTCTGTTTTTTTTTTTTTCCAAGGTTTTTCAATGTCACTTTCTTCATTTAGCTTCTTCAAAGATGTCATCAGTGGTAGCATTATAGTATAATCATGTACATTGTGAAACTTTGAAACTTAGAGCTAACCACCTCTTTTATTTGTGCTTCCTGCTAATCTTTTTGAATTTTCTGCCCAATATTTCTAGGATTTAATACGTTATCTGTTGTCAAAGAAGATTATTATCCATTAGATCCTCTCAGAGCTGAACAATAATGAGTAATTCCCACGAAGCCTTCTGTTGCACCACTGAGGCATCGTTTGTTTACCAGGCAAATGGTAGAAAACGTAAGAAAGAGAAATTTTTTAAAATTTTTATGTGTTTGGTTAGAATGAAAAGGAAAATGATAGAAAAAATAATTTTTTTTCATGTTTAAATTTTCTCACAAATAACCAATTTTTTTTTTCTTGTAAAACACACAAGGAAATGCAAGAAAATTGTGATCTATAAGTAACTTCTCATTTTACCTTTATTTTTCTTAAAATATTTTATTAGTTATTAATTTAAAAAAATTTTGGTAAAAATTTGACTAATCATAATTTTTCGTCCTTCGATTACAGAGAGCGAAAACATAAGTAAATCCTTCCCTTTTCATTCTAAAGGTCGAGTAGGGATGGTGTTGTGTCAAATTTTATTCAACACATTCAATCTAAATTTTGTTGTATTGCATTGAGTTTATACGGTGTATAAATCATATTTATCCAAATTTGTTTTGACCCTTTTAGTTAACAGCACTATTCAAACTTGACCCATCAAATTTAGAATTTTGAAGCCTAAATTTTGATACTGGGCCCCGGATACGAATTATTGTTGTAA